AAAGTTTTGGCAAAGGAATAATAAATTGCAACAGCTCCAGGACTTGGCTTGCTTTCCCCACCCCACTCTCTTTACCTTCCTGTCCCAAGGAATGGCATTGGAAAGAGCAGGAAGAAACAAAGGAAGGGTGTGACGTAGCAGGCCACTCTGATGTCACTGCCAACTCAGGCCTCTCAGAATGCACACCACACTACTTCACACTCACTGCCACCAATTGTAATGGCTATTTAAGAAGGACAAATCTTATTTAATCAATCACAGACTTTCTCTCACTGATAACAAAATATGTAAATCACAATTAGCTAATCAAGATGTCAATCACTGATTAAATAAGATACAGACTTTCTCTCACTGAATACGTACGCACACAAGCTCTTTTTCTCTCACACTCCAGATCTGATCATTCACACTCCCTTCACACCCCTTCTTCTTCCAGCTCCTCCCTCTTCTGCTCCACCAGGGTAACAAGGCTCTTCTCCAAAAAGAGCTTTTCCTCATGAAATCTTGCAAGTCTTTACATAAGTATATAAGAATCCTATTTCCTTGCTGGAGCTTTTTTCCTGGAACAATTAGCTTGTGTTTTTACCTCAGCAGAAGGATAATTGAAAGCATTCAGTGAGATTTGCTGAAATGTGAAGTAACATAGTGCCAAAGTTCACTTGTGGAACTATACTAGATAAAAATGAAACCTTGGCTCAGGACATGCCAAAAAATAAGGTTTTATATTTGTCACTGCTTAAACTAACAAAAATCTTTTTTTAAACCTTTTTAAAACAGCGTTATGGGGAGTGAAATTAAGGGTTCAGGGGGTAGGTATGGCTAGAGAAAGGGTAAAATTCCAGAGAGTGAGATGGTACATTTGCATCAACTTGTGCAATTATACTATAAAGTGAGATAAAAAACAAACAGCAATTTTTCCCAGTATTACTATAGTATTCCCAGTATTCCCAGTATTACTATAGTTACTAATCTGTCTATTTCCTAATTGGACCTTCACATTCTTCTTTAATCTGTGCTTTCCAAGCTATCTTTCGAGTCCATTAAGTCATTCCATTTTTGAGTCTTTTGTAAGGTAATCTTTGTTTATCACTTCTGTTTCCTCCATCTCTGTGAGTTCACGTTTCTTTTCTGTCAGCTCTTCTAAGTCCAAGATATCTATTTTCTAATATTTCCCATCTGTAGCTGTAAAGATTGCATGCATTATCAAATATTTCATTTCTCTATCTGACATCTCAGGCATAATATTCAATAAAGAAAAAAAATCCAGTTTATATGTTGTCAAATGAAATAGAATATTTTTCAAACTTCCATGCACCTACAATAATTCCCTATATATCCATGAAACATGATAAAAGTGCCCTCCTCTATTTATGTTTCCCACACTAAAACATTTTTGTATCTTAAAAAAAACTGTTGGCATTATATACCATCAGTAAAGTCATCTACAGTCATGGCCATAAATATTGGCACCCTTGCAATTCTGTCAGAAAATGCAACCCTTCTCAGAAAATTGTTGCAGTTGCAAATGGTTTGGTACTCACATGTTCATTTCTTTGGTTTGTGTTGGAACAACCAAAAAAAACAGTGTAGAAAAGTCAAATCTGATACAATCCCACAAAAAAAAACAGGGTAGAAAAGTCAAATCTGATACAATCCGACACAGAAACCCAAAACTGCACTGGCCAAAATTATTGGCACCCTGTCTAAATTGCAAGAAATTTTGTCCTTGTATATTCCGGAATCTAAGTACGGCATTGCCTCTTTCCATTGTGGGTTTTAACACAGTAATTTAATCTTGCTTGCTTTCCCGTTTCAGTTCTTCCATCAGGGTAGAAAAGTCAAATCTGATACAATCCGACACAGAAACCCAAAACTGCACTGGCCAAAATTATTGGCACCCTGTCTAAATTGCAAGAAATTTTGTCCTTGTATATTCCGGAATCTAAGTACGGCATTGCCTCTTTCCATTGTGGGTTTTAACACAGTAATTTAATCTTGCTTGCTTTCCCGTTTCAGTTCTTCCATCTCTGTATTCAAGGTCTCCAGTCTTTCTTAGGTTCTTTTTGATGTCCCATCTGTTCTGGCTATTTGTTTCTTATTTTCTGTAATTTTATTTTTAATATCAGCCATTTGCATCCCTAAATCTTTCATTTGAACACAAACTGAGCCATCCCTTTTTGTAATTGCTGTAGCCCTCTTGATAGCATCTCTTGAATACTCTGTTGCAAGTCCTTAAATGACTCTTGACCCAATATTCCACTGAGATTCTCTTTCTGTGCCAGTGATCCTCCTTGAGTTCTCTTTCCACCTTTTGTTGCCATATTGATTTTTTTCTTCCTAAAATAAGTATACAAGGGATGCTGTTTAAGTCTTCTGTCAGCAAATGTCATTGTAACCTTACTTTTCTTTCTCAGTCTTATTTACATATCAAATCCAAAGGGGGTAGCACTATCTCAGGGTAGAAAATTCTCTTGGTCGCCAAGTCACAATAAAAATTTAAAGGCCCCACAGTTCTTTGAAGTATACAGTGGTGCCCCACTTGACAACATTAATCGGTTCCGTTAAAATTGCTGTTAAGCGATATCGTTGTCAAGCAAAAGAAAAAATCCATTGAAATGCATTAAAAACTGGTTCAATGCGTTCCAATGGGCGAAATACCTCATTGTAAAGCAAAGATCCTCCATAGGGTCATTTTCAATTGCTGTCTTCCGGAAATAGGTCCGGAAAACAGCAGATGGCCATTTTGAAACCCCGACGAGCAGCTATTTTTGATCGTCGTGAAGCGAAAAATCAGTTCCCAAAGCAGGGAACTGATCGTTGTGAAGCGGATTTTCCCCATTGAAACATCATTTTGTGATCACAATATTGATTGCAAAAACCTCATCATGAAGCGATTTTGTTGTCTACCAGGGTAATCGGCAAGCGGAGCACCAATGGATAGGATTTCATATCATTATTTTAGATATTCACAGGAGCAAGACTTTTATCTTAGATTGATCTCATTTTGTGATGAAGTAGTTTTCTCTCCCTTCTCTGTTTTTCTCCTCTCTCCTCCCGATCCAAGCTAAGGGGCAGGAATCGCTTCTACCATGACAGTAAGATTTTTTAAAAGGTAAAGTCAGTTTTCAGCTTCAGACATTCAGCTGCCACCAGTTGATTACATCACTATTAAAGATAGAGGTCCAGTCAATGTGTCATTTTAAAACCAGGTAGAATTGTTTATTGTTACAGTACAAGAAATAAAAGTTCAGTCATTGTCATTAGCTCTCAACTAAAACAACATTGCCTTTATATTCTCTATTGCCTACTTGTCTCTCTCAACTCCAAACTCCCAAAACTAAACTGCCTCCCTCCTCTTCTAATCTCCCTCCTTTTTCTTCTTCCTTAGCTCTGCCCCACCTATTGGTGCATGCAAATCTCAGCATAAATATTCATTAGCAGCAGGGTGAATGCTACAGATGCAATTTTGGAGGGGGAACCAGCTTTTACCAATTCCTCTCCCCCCTTTTGTTATCTCTGCTGCTTCAGATGCCGCTTCTCCTAACACAGAAGTCCCTAACCCCCTGGTCCGCAGCCTGGTTCTGGTCCATGGCCTGAGCTGGACCGGACCACAGAGAGAGACCTCCACCCCACCCCCACATGCACTCCCCCCTGCACAGCCCATTTGCACCACAAGTGCTGGACCATCCTTTGCGCATGTGTACTAGAGCTCATGCACTCACACAAGTGCTGCACCGCCCTTTGCACATGCGCCCATGCAAGAGCATGCATGCTCCTTCGCGAATGCACACAAGCACAGGGGGGCCTGCCCTCAGCCGGTCCGCAGGGCTAAAAATGTCAGGGACCGCTATCCTAGTGGACCATCCTTCCCACCCCTAGTTAGGGGGCCCTGGAACCAAGGGGTCCCAATCAGTTTCAAGAGCTTGCCTGAAATCCAACCAGTTCTTGCCACAACAAAACCCCGCCTCCAACTAACACAAATCTTATGTCATATGGCTGGAAGGAAATATACTGATAATATCAACAATGAGCAAGGTACAATAAAGAGAACAACATATCTGAAGAAATCTTAGAAAATAACCCTGTAATTACTAAAAGCAACAGGAACTGTGTGTCCAGTTGTGCAATTAAATTGCGCAATCTATGTTGCCTGGGTGTACCACTTGGAAAAGTTATGCCTATATATCTGCATTACATGGTTTCAATCCTGATTCCAGCCAGTAAAACCTGTTTAGTTTTTAAGATGGCACACAATTCTTTGTTTTTTACCTGAACCTTGGAGATCCCAGTCAACTGAGTGGAAAACTCCATTGACATTTTCTAATCTGCATCCTTAGCAGCATCTGGATCCTCTTTAGGGACTGATAAGATTCAGTCCTCATGATATAAGGATCATATGCGGACTCAAAAAGTAGGGATAGGAAGAATTGCTGTATCATTTTAATCTGTGAAGGTTTTTTCATGGTGCAAATTGTTAGGAGAATGAAATGTGTACTGAACTTGACACAGAGGATGGAGATTTGGGTATGCGTGCACTTTTATGATTTGGGCATGATTTTGACATTTGGATGTGGCACACACAACATAAAAAGGGAGCTGAAGAAAGATAACGTAACTGAGGCAAACAATGTAGACATGGTTGTGTGTATTCAAATAACATTCGTGGGATGAGTGGGATTAAATATATAGAAAGTGGAGTTGGTGGTTCACCTCCACTATGAAAACTCCATCTCTGAACTATATTCCATCGGAGGGACCAGCCCTGGCTGACACCAGTATTGATCAAGACCATGCGTATGCACCAGCCTGTGTCCATGTGCAGAAGAGAACATGATGGAATGAAGAGAAATAAGACTGTTCTGATTATGGGATTAGGAAGGAGGAAGAAAGGAACGGGAAGGAACGAAGAGAAAGAGGGAGGAGTAGGCTGGCTGAGAAAGGAAAGGGTAAAGTCCAAATGTTAGTTCCAAAATCATTACAACCATGTGTTCTTTCCTTAGGCTTTGTCTGTCAGCGCAACCAACTCTCCTTCAACTTCTGCCAGACTCTTCTGCTGTTAGGAAGGTGCCATCTCCCAACAGTTAGCATACAGTGTTGTAAGACCTGCCACCACCATAGCCATTGGGATCGTGGAAATGAGCGTGCCTCCAGAAAGTAAATGCTTCTGTTTTCAGGGACCTCTTGGAGGATGAAGAGCCTTAAGGAGCAAAGTTACCTCAAAAAGCAGAGCTTTTTAAACTTGGCCACTCATTATGGTTTCCTTCCTCCAGCAGGATCTTGTGTGGTGCTCTTAAATAAACAGCTTTTTTTTCATCATGCTTAACTCTGGCTGTCTCATCCAACTGCACTAAAGAATACCACAGCAACATCTCCTGGCCCTGATATATTGCAAAAGGAAAATATGATTTATTGTGTGCAAGACTGACCATAATATCATGCAGTTGATATTTGAGTTGGAAAGCAGCATGACCATGGAAGAGCAATAATTCTGAGATAATTTCAGAAGTGCTTCTGGTGCTATTATTTGACTATACAGTATTCAGGTTTCACTTGGTGTTGGCAGGCCAGCACAAAACTCTTGACTATTTCATTAAAAACAAACACAAAGCATTTTTATATGTTATGAAAATGAGCATCTAACAAAGTGTAGTTTTACTATTACATATTTACTGCATTGATAGTGATATTCTGTATTGCTGATGTGAGGACCTCAAACCATCTGAGTTTGGTCCCTTATTTCAAAGTGACTGAGCTGGTTTCATTAGTGTAGGGATGGATAATGTATGGCCTGCCAAACATTGCTACAGTGCAAGTCCCATTATACCTCACAACTGGTTACACTGGCTGAGGCTGATGGGATTTCAAATACATCTGGAGTGCCAATCCACCTCTACTTTAGAGATACCAAACAGAGGTTTCATTTTAACTTGAATTGGACCAGCTGCTCCAATCTATCTGTGATTCTCCCCACCCACCTCTTAATGATGCCTGCTTTTGGTTAGCAGTCTCTTTTCACTGGACTGCAGGTACTGGTACACTGAACAAGTCCAAGAGTACCTAAAGTACGAGTACTCGGATTTTCTGGATCCATTTCAATTGGATTTCAGGCCGGGTTTTGGTACAGAGATTGTCTTTGTTGTCCTGTACAATGATCTTTGCTGCGAGTGTGACGGGGAGTGTGACCCTGTTGATACTCCTGGACCTCTCAGTGGCTTGCGGCACCGTTGACCATTGTGTCCTTCTGGATAGGCTGGCTGGGTTGGGAGTTGGGGACCCCGCTTTACGGTGGTCCCGCTCCTGCCTGGCTGACCATGTCCAGAGGGTGGTGCTAGGGAAACAGTTGCTCTGTCCCATGGCGTTTATGTCATGGGGTTCCTCAGGACTCGATACTGTCCCCCATGCTGTTTAACATCTACATGGAACCGCTGGGAGTGGTCATCAGGAGGTTTGGGCTGAGGAGTCAGCAATATGCTGATGACACTCAGCTCTACCTCTCGTTTTCCACCAATCCAGGTGAGGCAGTCTCTGTGCTGAACTCTGGACCTGATAATGGACTGGATGAGGGTTAATAAATTGAAACTCAGTCCACACAAGATGGAAGTGCTGTTAGTGGGTGCTTTGCCGGACAGGCTGGAGGGCCATTTCCCTGCCCTGAATGGGGTTACACTCCCCCTAAGGAACAGGATCCGCAGCTTGAGGGTGCTCCTAGACCCCAGTCTAACTCTAGAAGCCCAGGTGGACTTGGTGGCCAAGGGCGCCTTCCTTCAGCTGCGGAAATTGTACCAACTACAGCCATACCTGGACGAGTGGAGTCTCATTACAGTTACACACGCACTGGTAACATCTTGTATAGATTACTGCAATGGCCTCTATGTGGGCTGCCTTTGAAGACAATCCAGCAACTGCAACTGGTCCAGAATTGAGCTGCGCAGCTGCTGAGTGATGGGGCTGCTAGGGGACACATCAAGTTGATACTGTTTAAATTACATTGACTACCAGTTGCTGCCTGGGCCCAATTCAAAGTGCTTGTTTTGACATATAAATCCCTAAACGGCTTGGGCCCTGGATACCTGAAGGACCGCCTCCTTCCATATGAGCTACCCGACAGTTAAGCTCTAGCCAGGGGGCCCTTTTGAAACAGCCGTCCCTCAAGGAGGCAAGAGGGATGGCTTGTAGACAAAGGGCCTTTTCGGCAGTTGCCCCCAAACTAATGGAACGCCATTCCAGTTGAGATTCATCTGGTGCCAATGCTGATGACATTTCGGTGCCAGGTCAAAACCTTCCTGTTCCAGAAGGCTTTTAATTGAAATAGTATCAACTGTGGGTCCTGATGGCAATTTTTAGGGTATATATTTTAATTGCATTTTAATTGTTTTACAGTGGGGTCTCGACTTACGAACTTAATCCGTATTAGAAGGCAGTTCTCAGGTCGAAAATTTCTTAAGTCGAATCTGCATTTCCCATAGGAATGCATTGAAAACCATTTAATCCGTATCTGCTCTTTTCGTCCATAGAAACTAATGGGAAGCTGCTATTCCGCCTTCTGCCACTAGAGGGGGATATTTTTTCTTTTTTCCTTTTAACCTAAGATGACTTAGCTTTTTAAAAAAGGAAAAAAACAGTTCATAACTCGAATCTAAGTTTGTAAGTCGAGTCCATATATTCCTATGAGAGCGGTTCGTAAGTCAACGTTCGTATGTCGAGCCGTTCATAAGTCGAGACCCCACTGTATCTTTTTACTGTATTTTAATTGTTTTAAGCTGCCCAGAGACCTTTGGGTAGTGCAGGCGGCATACAAGTTAAATAAATAAATAAAGTGGTTTCAGTTTGTCTTTGTAACCTACACTTTACTTACAGTTTAATATTGTGGCTGTATTTCCTGTATAAGTAATTCATACCAGTGTGTACATTGGCAAGAAAAAATTATATTTAATTTTTCCCTCTTCTCTTTCTAACCTACATTGGAGGAATGACTCAAGGTTGGTCTTGACATTGGTCTCCCTCTGAATCTCAACTTTGTGTGATTAAATATTTTTGTTAAATATACCCTTCAAACTGTGAAAAGTGTATCTATCTGAGTCTTTAAAATCTGATGGCTGCAATCCTTTGTGAAATTCCAGAGATTATTGTGTTTCATAGCTTCTCTGACTTGCTATTAGTGCATAATAAATATAGCTGGTTTTCAGCATGGAAGATAAGAAGCACTACAGCAAGTTATATATCAGCTATATGTCATATATATTTCATCTTTACCCACAGTATGAGACCCTTTTATTTAAATGTACCTACATCTCTATATGTACACTCTTCTTTGCTGTCCATGGGCGCTATATCATGGAATTTCTCCAGCAGTTCATCACAGATACAAAGGAATTAATACAAAACTTTTTTTCTAAAGCAATACAATGTATTACTGTTTAAGAAAAACACAGCTCTCTATCACATAAAATTAAATTGATACAGTAAAATAAGATCTGCGTGCTTTCTCGTCAATTTTTATTCCACAATATCCCTGCCTCCTCTTAAAAAATCTCTGGAGAAGGAAAAATGATCAACCTGATGTTTTTTGATTAAAGGTTTTGTTCTCTTGTATACACACAGCAGCATCTCCACGTATCTATTTTCAGAGAGCAGAACGTGGACAAAAAATTGAAAGTAAAACTATTTTTAATTCCTATTCAGAAGCAACCCTAAACATCTCCAGATTTTAAACTGATCACATAAATTGAATGGACCAATATTGCTTATCTTGAACTAGAATGGTTGTCACTATTCGTATACCAATACCCCCAGACAGCAGTGGTGGCAGCCCCTCTCTTCCTTCCAATCACCCCAGCTAACGACTCAGCAGCCTTGCAGAGGGAGTCCTCCTTCCCATTGTCAGGAGTGGCTAGCTAGCGGGAGCGATTGGAAGGAAGCGAGGGGCCACCGTCACTGCTGGATGTGTGAGTGAACTGAACTGAACTGAACTGAATTTTGCTGTCAAAAGCTTTCACGGCCAATGGTTGTTGTGGGTTTTTTGGGGCTGTTTGGCCATGTTCTGGAGGTTTTTCTTCCTAACGTTCCTCCAGTCTCTGTGGCTGGTGTCTTCAGAGGACAGGAGCTAGAATTCACAAAGCAGAACACAGACAGAATTCTAGCTGGCAAAATGTTAGGATCATGAACTGAATTTTATTGGCCTGGCATGTTTCAAGCATCACTTGTTAGCATCTGTCCAGCACTGATGACCACAAAGAGTAATTTGGGAGCAGGAAAGCCAAAGACTGTCTTTTTGACTCTCTGATCTCTACTTCCTCCTACATCTATTATTAGACTGATATTCTCAGGGTCTTTCTGTCACTCTTGCTTCCTTTCTTTCTTGACTCTAAATAATAATTATGTTGTGGCCCTCTCCTGTGTGCCCACTAAGTAGGTCACATGTCTATCTAGTTATTAGTAGGGTTTAGGCTCTTCTACCTTGAATAAAGTTTGTTTGTTTTTAACTGCTTCTCATGCTTTATTGCACGACTAACAGCTTACATGTCTACACTTACTCTGCTAATGAAAGAAATCTTCAGATTTCTCTCTTACTTTGTGAACAATAAGTCTCAGCTGTCAACGTGGATAACAGAACTTTCAGTTCTGCAGTTGACCTTTGTACATAGCTATTAATAACTATGTACAAAAGTCAACTGCAGAACTGAAAGGGGCCCTATGGATCATTGAGTCCAGCCCCTGTCAAAAAGGCATAGTGGGAAATTTAACTCCCAACCTCTGCCTCCGCAGCCAGATACCTAAACCACTGAGCCATCCATCCATTCATGACTGTGTAGCATTTAACTCACACTCTCTACTCACAAATAAGCACCACCTGCTAAATACAGGAACAATAATTGCTTTCTTATGAAAAACAAGGTCAAGAAACAGAGCTGTCTCCACTCTGTTTAGGAAACAGATAAGGGACACAGGGCATGAACAAAAAAAGGAGAGCCAACACAGTTCATAAATATGTGAGACACAATCCTACACCACCAACTGTCAAAGCCAGCATGAATGTTTTACTTATAAACTCTATATGTTGTTGTATTTAATTCAATATGTCCAAAGAAGTGAATTGTCCACAAAAGCTCACGTTACAATATAGTCTTTAAGGGGTCATAACATTTTTTTTCTTTATTATGGGGATTGTTTGTTTGCTTTCCTTTTGTTTTGTGTTGTTTCTTGGCGATAGGATTTAACATATACATAGTTTGACCTTGAGCCAAGACAAAATGTGTGTTAAGGTCTATAATAATGATGCTTTCAATCTACAGGCCACTAAGATCTTGCGCTCTTGGCCACCCTGAAAGTCAAATCACATATTAAGAGAAATGAGAATTCCCTGCTATTATGAAAAGGTTCCCCAGGCAGTCAGGGCCTTCAAGGTTCCACACTTGCACAATGAGACTGAAATGAAGTCTCAGTTTACTGTCCTACACCTAATCACCAAAACTAATTCAGCTAAATGGGAACATTCAGAGTGAGATGCTCTCATGCAAGGTCTTTCTCCCCTTAAGGGAGCTCCGGTTCTAATGAGGTGCTAACTATATCATCTAGTAGTGCAACTGTCCGGTTCAATCCAGGCTCAACCTGCTGTTTGTGTGCCTCAGGGAAGAAGCTTTGATAGGAGAGCCTTTGCCCCAGGGCAAATGATCAAGTGATTCCAGGACCCAAGTACCTGCTTTTGGTCCTCTGCTTTCACCCACACAGGCCCCAGCCAGTATGCCTAGGGGTCAGAGACAGGGAGTTTCCAAAAGATTTGCAGGGCAACCAGATTGGAGAAAGATCGCTTGGTTTGTCCCATTTCTAGGTCAACTGGTTAGGGCAGGTGACACCTTGTCAGCCTAAATATACAGTGGATTGCAAAATTTAAAAAAGTGAAGCATACAAGAATAATTCAAAAGCAATTCATTATGTAATAACTGTGACGGCCTTCCTCACGACTCACAAAGGGAGGTCGTCACGTCACTTTAAAACACTTTACTCCACTTTACTGCCACCAGCCATTCCTTATAAAATAAATTATACAAAAGGCCAGTATAACTTTCAAAATAAAAACTTAGTTTATTGAGTACAAACATAAAGGAATGGTAAATCACTATTAAAGAAAGTGCATGATGCCAGGGACTACTTCTGATGGTCAGAGAGCCGAAAAACAGATCAATAACCATGCACCACGCAACAATCAAAAGAAAACATCTGCCCTAAAGTTGGGAACCTGGAATGTTCGGACAATGACCCCTGGCTTTTCTGACAACCTGCAGGAAATAGACGACGTGCGCAAGACAGCAGTTATCGACATTGAACTGAGTAGACTGCGGATGGACATTGTTGCCCTGCAAGAGACGAGATTGCC